ATGCTACTGAGGTTGAATTACCCCCATCAGAACTTACATAACTCATCGATCACCACAATCATAAGATACTGGAAACTTAAGCAGGTTCTATGCCGCATTGACATCGACATATATTCGCACCGCACCTGCATTTCACACTTTATCACTAAGCACCTAGGAAGCTTATTACACAATGTGCGTTTCTCTTGAGGTAAACATCCTTGACAAATCTAATCTAGAGAATCAATTATTTTATCCATAAAATAATCAGAGGATTTCACAAGTGCAAGTTGAGCCAGCTGTGAATGTCTCCAAATTGAAGTGCTTCGATTTCTTTTCCGATTCATAATAGATTTGGTTTATCCAGAGTTTAGTTAATCTTGGCCTGGCAAGTCTGCTTAATTAGCTCGATACTAAGTGATCGCAAATGTTTCTGTCTTAGCTGCTGGACTTAAATTGCTGTCAGACGGACATTAACCCATAATCAGGCTCGGGTCATTATCACCCGAACCAGCGCGTATGAAGCCAGACCATTGGTTCATGACAGTCACCTGTGACATAATTGCATATGCGGCAACCCAACAGACAAGGGAAGTCCTAGATTGTACAATAGCCCAACGGGTTAAAGCCCAAACATTGTATGGGACCATTCGTCTATAAAAGGACCAGAAGTTCCCGAGTTCAAAGGAAAGACTCGAGAGAACCATGGCCTTGAGACCCCTAGAGAATTATTAGTTGAATAGCAATATGACTAAGTTCCAAGCCCTCTACTAGAGCCCTTGTCACAATTGCATACCCTGGAAGCATCCCCCCATCCTCCGTGGCACATCTGTCAACCTCATGAGTATTGAGAAATGTCCATGGAACCCTCCGGTGCAATTAATTAAGCAGCGGCCATCATAGACAAGTTCATGACCATCTCATTCTCACCCTTTACTTAAGTCCGTACTACGTGTATTCTTGGCCTAGTGTCTCCTACAGAAAGCTATATAGCAGGACAGCTCTCTATTTAAGCTTGTTCGGCTCCCTTGTTTATTGCAACGTCACTATAACTCTTGCTCTAAGCGGCGCTCGCTTTGCAAGCTATTCGCGTTCACCTTGTAGCATCTTCAGAGTAGTAATATCAAAATGGACAATGCTTCTCTATCTTCCAATGTTAAACTTCTGGGTAAACGGAAACGATGACTCAGGTCTCTGCGTAGAACTTACTAATACCACCCATCATTGACTTTTCCATGCCCTATGGAATAGTAAAGAGATAAAGCAGCGAACACTTCATCTAATTTATTTTCGCGGTGACACTGTAAGACTTAATCATCACCAATATTTCTACAAACTATGATGTTATTGAGTCAATTTTCCAAAGGCTTGATTTAGAATAGATAATTTAATTACTAAGTCTTGAGCTTATTTAGTATCTCGTTATATTTTACACTGACTTATGCACCATGTCGGCGAAACGTGGACAAGTCCTTCGTTGCTATTCCTTTCCAGTTTCCAAGTGATGATTAATTTTTCACGGCATGACCCTCTAGTAGGTATTGTGAGAGAATCCCCGAGAATAGCTTTTAACGAGAGAAGCGCTCATGCAATTAGCGTAATCTTCGGCTACATTGATCGTTTCCCCCCTCACATTTCCTTCGTTTGCTATGGATATCCTGAGAAACAACAAATAAAATACACGAAGAATAACTCCCCTAAGCACAATTTAGTAAGGATGTGTTAACACAAAGAATACCATGTACGAGAAAAAGGCCCTGGGACCACTCAATGTGTTGTAAATGAGGTTTGTAAAAACACAACTCATGGGCTCACTTGACTGTCACCCATGTCTGCACCCGGTTTCAATTTAGTACGATATATCCACAGACCACTTAGGTTTTAAGCTCAACTTAGTTCGTATTTAGGGATCCATAGGTTCTCCGACTCTTGGCATTAGGCAAGGCACTTCAAGCCTATCTAGTGCCAATTGACATGGATCGATGCAATTCCTCTTCTCCCTTACTCCAGGGAACCTGGCCTTGAAGCCGTTGAATATGAATACATGTATTATGTATATAGGAAGGGAGACTGTTAAAGCAATCATGTCTTACTAGGATAAGCCCTGTTAGTGTCAACTGTTAAATGCTTCAAGGAAACGATTAAATATTATAGTCGCCATGTAAGGGGCCTGGTATGAAAGAGACGGCCCGCGGCTAATGAAATTCTGCACAAGCGCCCCTCTCCTTGGTATTAGGCTCGTCAAGATATACTGTGGACAAAATTTACGACATAGAACAAGCGTTGTAGTTCTCAATTAATAACGAAGAGTCTCAGTAAATTTTCCCCGTTTCAATGAACCTGTTGCGATTGCCAATGTTTGTTTATCATATTTTAGCTGCTATTGGATACTTTTGAAACCATTTCAACCGATCGAAAGTAGTTATTATTCTTTAGTGTTTAAGTACACTTCATGAAAAGCCTAATGCAAATGAGGACATAAGCTACTGAGAATCTGTATTCATTATAGTGAGTCTTAAACGACCATGTTAATAATATAGCTTTAAGAAATATGTGGGTTTTGATAAACTTAATAAGAACAAAATCTTGAACTCGACTAATCATACAATAAAGGTAGTAGTTTGATCCCTCAGCTTAGCAGTCGAGAATCTACAAACATGGAATTACTTTTAATAGTGTACTGTCAGGTCGAATTATTATCGGCATACCTTAACACTGTAGTGGCTACGTATCGCAGCCAATATTGAGATCTAGGAGAGGCCTAAAGACCTCGCTTATTAGTTTGCTTTGCGATTCGACCTGAGAATAACTGGTGATTGGTAATGCAAGGAGTAATAAACCGTCTTAAAGCATCAGCCACAGCCCTGCAACTCCGTAGCATGAATTCTCGGCCCGCTTTCTTTCAAGGGAGTTTTCTTACAAACTTATTTTTTAATATCCTTGTTAGACTATTATAATATGGATGACAGACACGAAGCAACCTATATATAAAGAGGTCCTTACTCCTCGTCGAATAGTTGAACAATCCACTGACACAACTTTCATCCCAACAAAGTGAAGCACAACCAGTTCAACAAGACGCCACGAGATACTACATCGTCCCAACTTTCTATTCAACTCATAAACCAACATGTTGCAGAAGACATTTTTCATGGATAAAGATGAAGTACATAGTGTACAATTCCTCAAACAAGTCTTATACGATCTATTCGGCCCCCCCGACTACACCTACGTCTTACAATATTGTGAGGAAGACGAGGCGTTTGTTTTGCTCACCACATTCGAACCCGATATTGTAAGTTCATTATAAGCGCTATCAATTTATAAGCAGTATATATTTACTAACTATAACAGCAATCTATCAGAGACTATTTCTTCGCCGCCCAAGCGGCCTAGTAGCAGTCCAATCTTGAGGCTCACGAGTGCAAACCTCACCATGGCGCATGGATAACGGCGACGAAGAGATAGTTCCGCATCGCATAGCAGTATCCCAACTATTCCACTGACTATCGAGAACTCTAAAGAATACCCCAATGTCGCCGTATATCCTACCTCAACTTCGCGCTCTATGGGAGGATTTGGAGAGCTGATATCAAGACTTTTTTTTGGATGCCAAGAACAAAGAGTGCAAGGCAGCATCGTCAGGTGCGCGCCATCTGCGACGTTTTGTAATGGATTATTGTACAACTAGAAAGCATGCATTATGCCCGCAATATAAAGACATAGCCTTGCCCAATCCTGTTCCGAAATAATTGCACGAGAAATTTCTGACAAGTTATGGTATACTAGGCGTATCGCTTTGAAGGAAATATACTGTCAACAATTTGTGGCAACCCTGTTTCAATTCCTGAAATCATGTCTGAGTTGACTCGTGTCGAATAGAAGAATCATTGTGAGAACATAGAACGATGGTGACAAGGGCTGATGTACTTATCCCGAGGCCTACAGGATCCTAGATGCAGTCGTGGGATATGCCCCTGTCCTACTTATAATTAAGCGCATCTATAAACTATCTTTACATGATATTATTATTGCAGTTAAACAGCGCAACATGTATGCTTGTAGACTGACTAATGAGTATACCGTAAGCCTAATTCACAGAAACATAGGAGACGCAAGGTGACGCCTGTTATAAGTATATTTCTAAACACCTATGTTACTATATCTTAATCATCTGGATTCTTGTTGATACCTAATGTGAAGAAAAAAAGGAATCGGATGAATGACACAAGCAATGAACTATAAAACTCTGTCTAGTGCTAGCTCGCGTCAGTAAGAGGTGGCTCCAAATATACTCTAAAAAAAGAAGGGAAGGGAGACAACCTTTTGAGTTCTGTGACTCAAGCCAATGAGCTCCCTGGTGCTTCCATAATTAGCTAATCTTCAGCGGAAACAGAAAATGGTGGGGTTGAAGTGCATCAGGTAATGCGAAAGTCGTGTCTTAACAAAATATGGACAAACATAAATAGAAGGTCTAAGAATACCTATATTTTTGGAGAGAGGGTTAAGTGTCGATTTGGCTGCAAAGTTGCAGGTGTTTGCTAAAATGATTGGTTGGCTTAGAAGCTCCAACTCTACAATATTGACTTGTACGACACCCGGTGCAGTGGTTGCAGCCGTATCTTTATCATAGTGTCCCGCAGAAAAAGGATCAGGCAATACTATAAAGCACTGTGTCGTCTTGTATAGTGTCACTATCCCGGCTTGGGGATTTCTTAGTATTGGCTTTAAGTGTAGGTGTAATTGATCCGCTATAAGTCTAAAGACTAGGATTCTAAGCATCGTAAAGGCCAGGTTATAAATTTGCCTTGAAAGTACAAAATGTTGAAGAGCTGCCGCGCACCAAAGCTTAGCCACGTTTGTTCACAACCCCGTGCAAAGACTTAGTTATTTTTGGCCTCCTACATCCTTTCAAACTAAGCAATTTGGTTGGAGTAAAACTGAATGGATCGTTTGCGTTTGTCAAATATAGGTAGGCAATAAGAGAAAAGAAAATAGATCAAAATCTAGTGCAAAAAGTTTGACAAGAACGAGATTCGAACTCGCGCGGGTTGCCCCAGAAGAATGCTGCCTGTTAGACAGGTAAGGATTTGGGTCCTTGAGTCTCCCGCCTTAACCACTCGGCCATCTTGCCAGTTGTTGGCGCACATAGTTTACAAGTGTTTGAATACCACCTGCTACTTACATACCTACAAAATAGGCCTGGCCACATTGCACCCTGTTACTACTTGTACTATAAAAAAAAAAAAATTGAATAAATAGATAAAAAAGGAAAAGGAAATTATTTACTCCTCTCTAGGTCTGGCTAAGGAGGTAAGTAGGTAAGTTTACGCTCTGTTACGGAGGTAACAAATATGCCAGGCGGTACGGTAGGGCCATTGCAGGTATGCAGGGTCACCATCTAGCTAGAGTCAATCAATCAATGAATAGACAGCACAAATTATTCCCGAATGCTTGTGACTAACATTAGATTAACCTCATAATTGCCCAATGGTAATTAAAATCCGATTCCCTATTCGATATATTCAATAAATTGAAGCCGCTAATTCTGACGTGAAAAAGGTTTCTTTGTCGATTATGAAAAACAGTGATGCTCATGGTCTCATAAACAAAGGAAACACTGCAACCATGATACCTCACGCCGTATATAGCAGGAAGGGTCACGACCACATAGCCATTTCACATCAAAAGATCTCGACGGTGTTATGAATCTGCCCCCAGTTGAAGGGCCGAAAATTGGCCCATTCAAGCACTCTGGATCAAAGTTAAATATTAAGTTTTTACAAGAGATCGGAGAAGGTGATGATTCTTGGGTATGGAAAGTTGGTATCGATGGCGGCATATACGCCCTGAAAGTGGTTTGTAAAATCCCTAGCCCCTAATTTGACTACACCTCACGAGATGGTAGTTTAAATTCGACACGGATCCTGAACCCATACATCCGATGCAGCGACAACGATTTCGGGAACTCGGTATTACAGACGAAAGTGTGATCTTGCATGCGTGGGATCCTTTCGCTAGTGAATGCCGAGCCTATGGACGCCTCAAGGAAATAAACAAACCCGACATCGCGGCTGCTTGTTACGGCTACCTCTTTCTCAGTACTAAAAATAACAACTCGCTAGATGGTGCCGACTTTACTGAGTTGGAATGGGTGGAAATAAGAGACTGGAAACACGACGCGGGGAAGCCAAAAGCCCTCATTCGGACTCTTGTGAAGGAATATATCGAGTCCGAGTCTCCTTTTTCACCGGGGATGGTTCCAAAAATGTTACGAAACATAAAACTTCTCCATAAATACGGCATCGTTCACCGGGACATACGGGAAGACAACTATAGAGAGGGGCTATTAGTTGACTTTTCTATAGCGTTAACGGTTCCTCATTTTTTGCTGGATCTAAAGCTGGGCTATAATCAGCTGGAAGAGATCTATGACTACGATGTTGGAGACGGATACGCTTTCGATAGTATGATTAACGATTGGAGTGCAGACAATAATATCAAGATTTGGCAGAGATTTCTTCCCAATACCCGTTATCGAAAGTGTCTACGATCTGAGCGAAGTGGCAAGGAGCAGGATTCGAAATTTTGTACTCCTACAAACGCACTGCTGGAGGCAAGAATGGAAGTACACCGAAAAATACGAGATCGGATCAAGTGGCATGCAGCAGATTATGACTGGAAGAAGGGGAAACAAATGAAAAGTAGAAAAATTATCTGAAAGGTGGTGGACTATTCAGCTATAAGATTCAATTATCTACAGAGGGAAAACAGAACGGAATTCTCACTGGTTTCCTCATTAGCGAGCTCTTTTAGCTGATAACAAGAGATTCGTACGGACGAACGAGATTCACGTACACCTTGGCTTTCCCTAAACACAATACCCGGAATTAGGTAGCATAGTGTATTTTCGGCCCGAGCGTGACCGGAGATATGAAGCACTCTAGACTCTAGCACCCGCAATAGTGACTGCTCCTCAAGCTAAATGCCTACTAGCACAAGCTATATATATATCTTTCTTGTACGTAGACCTACAAATGTCACATGCCTAAGCATATAGCCAGAGATGGCGGTGTCCAGCACCCAGGCGTGCAAAACAACCGCTCGTCATCGGAGATAAGCTCTTGACCGTTTCTTGTCGTACGAGTCAAAGCCTCAAAATTACAAGTAATCTTAAGGAATGTTCTGCTGTACTGTTTATGATTATTCAAGATCCTAATGTAAGTATCTTTCTGTCTGCCCGCCGGGAGAATAACATCCAACTTCAAGGGTCCGAAGTCCGAGCAGCTGCTGCCCCGCGTCGTAATCAGTCACATAAGCTCGCGCGTCGGAATCGCGCGGGTTTACGGCGTATCTCATCTACAGCGAATCGAGAGGGCGGTGTTGCAATGATTATCAATCGCCAATGTAAGGTCCTGGTCCATCAGTTAAATGGTAGCCTATCGTAATCCTGACCAGGTCTTCCACGTGGCTCAGCGATTTAGCCTACTCAGCCGGGAAAGGGGTAAGATATACACGGAGTTACGAGATACTAGAATGAGAATCTTAGAGCACGAGACCTATAGCGTCTTCCGTCTACTTGTTCTGAATTGTAACTGCAGTGCTTGACATATAGATACCATTCGTCTACTGTTACAAACATCCACATATCCCGGATCTCCGTCCGATACCCTTAATTACGCCATACAGTCTTCTATTCATAGATAGTCGTCGGGGGCAGGGATTACGAAATCATGCGCCTGGCCAGATCCCTTGGCATCTTATCGACTTCCATCATGAGGTTCATCCCACCAGCTGGCCGGAGTAGATGTGGGATGCTAGAGGAGGAGATGATGTGATGAGCTCTTCGTCCGCACGGGGCCGTCATAGAGAGTTACAAATCAATCTATTCGACAGCAGCTGAGACGCAGTGGTTTGTCAAGTAGGTCGCGGTTAATGTCTAAAGGTTATCATGTCTGTCCTCATCATAAATAACGAACACATAAATATTGAGGAGACCTTTCGCCGTAGTTCGATATCACAGAACCACAAGGCAACCTATCTACTTTCCAGAAGAAGTCCTCTCACAGATTACATTACCAAAACCTCAATCATTCCATCATTTCATCATCCACCATGGCGCCAACTAACAGAGCAGCTTTCTACCCATCCGACAAGGCCCCAGCGCTGAAGGTCGACGAATCCCCGTACCCAACAGTCGGGGAGAACGAGGTGATCGTGAAGGTCGCGGCGGCCGCCATCAACCCGGTAGACTCGACGATCCAGAAGGAGGGAACCGGGGCGTTCTCCTTCCTCACGTACCCGCTAGCAGGCGGGCTAGACATCGCAGGCACGGTGGCGGAAGTCGGGGCGAACGTGACCAAGTTCCGCCCCGGCGACCGCGTCCTGGGGTTCCCGAGCGACTTCAGCTCGCGCGCCGGCGGTTTCCAGAACTACTCCGTAGTGGATGCAGCGCTGGTGTCGCGCGTGCCGGACGGCATCTCGCTCGTCGAGGCGTCGACGCTACCGTCGGGCGTCGCCACCGCCGTCGTGGCGTTGCACCAGTATCTCGGGCTCGAGCAGCCGACGGCGCCCGCGCGGCCGCGCAACGGGAAGACGGTGCTCATCTCGGGCGGCGCGAGCGTCGTCGGCAGCAACGCCATCCAGCTGGCCGTGGCGTCGGGGTACGAGGTGATCACGACGGCCTCGCGGAAGAACTTCGCGCACTGCACGGCGCTGGGAGCGTCGCGCGTCTTCGACTACCACGACGCCAATCTCGCGCGGGACTTGATCGACGCGTTCAAGGGGAAGCAGTGTGCCGGCGGCGTGTCGTCAATGGAGGAGAGCAATGCCGTCGTCTTCGAGGTCGTGGCCGCCAGCGAGGGGAGCAAGTCTGTCGCCTGTACCATCCTTTTCAGTCAGGAGGGCGTGCCGGCGGGGATCAAGACCGACATGATCCTCGCGTTCCGCATCAAGGACACGCCTCTTGCCGATGTCATCTTCGACAAGTTCTTGCCCGCGGCCCTGGCGAGTGGCCAGTATAAGTGTGAGCCAAGGCCTCGTGTGGTCGGGCAGGGTTTGGAGACCATCCAGACCGCGATTGATATCATCGCGAAACCAAATTCCGTGTCATGTGAGAAGCTGGTTGTTACCCTTGGGAGCGAGGCGTAAACGCCTTCTTTGGTTAGTTAAGACTGCTGGGCTCGCGATGAGATGAAACATGAAACGTTCGGCTTAAATAAGATTGTCCACCTATCTACCTCTTTTACGAACAAGTTCACCCAGGTGCATTGGCTGACTTATTATCCTGTGACATGCATGGTCGTGAACGCTAATAGAAAACCAACGGGACGCTTACTTGCTGTTGCTAAAACTGGCTTGGTCAAGCTATCAAGAATTCCGTATAAGTACGTATATACACTTCGCCATATCAGCGGCAGATAGGTAGTTTGGTTAGACCGGCAGATCTAGACGGGAACTACCTAGAGGTAGAGGAATCCGTACTTACGTCACGATACCATTTCGTCGTCGCTCACGATAAGACGATACGAGTTGTAGCTAAGTTACAGAGTGAACACAACATAATATAATACGCGCCTTAGTAAACAATGCATAAACCTTATGGGATTACTGGTTGAATATAATACATAACGCATAGTGTTGGGACCGTTCACATGAAATCCCAAGAGAGTTCGCGATCAACACTGACAATTTCCCTTTGAGAGGTCAAATATATATCTACTTATAGTTTAACCGTCACAAATTGAAACACAGCTTGCATTATAGATTTTGGCACTTTCCCCCTAGTTCTCATAAGAGTCCAAGTGCCATATTTGCGTGTTTGACCATATCCATCTATTTTAAGGTATCAATCATTACAGATATCCACAATCCAAGAGACACCCCAGCCAGAAAAAAACAATCACCCCTAACCAGCTCCGATTACTGAGATGCTCAGCAGCCTTAGTTAAAGATTAGTATCCGGAATCTCAGCCACCTGGGCGTACTCCATTTTCATCGGTTTTGTTCCACCCAGGCCAGAATGACATCGCTTATATCGTAAATGCGACAGAAATGACAAATGTAAAAGAACATGTATCCAGATTGACAAGTGGTGAAGGGAGTGCGAATCTCGCAAGTATTAGGTGGGGAGGC